CAAGTAGGCACAAAAGAAAAGATGGAGCCGAATATATGTAATTTGGTCAGGTTTTTGATTTTTTGGTCCGATTCAGTTCCGGAAACAAGTTCGCCCCTAGAAGGGGGTGGGGAGTATTTGTACCAAACATGATTAAGAATGGGCTAAATTTAAACCTTGTTATATGACAGAGAATACCAGACACAAGTTAACAATAAATTACCATACTAAACAAAAACTACAGTGGAGGAGTGACTAAAATTTGATGTTAGAATAATTATAAAAAAACAAAAACAAAAACAAATCAGTTTGGAATTTGGAACCACATTCACAATCCGTTTATGTGCCCATTTCCACCTGGGGAAGCGTATATGTCAAGTGTTATAACACGTGTACCTACCTAAACACACACACACACACATACATTGGTGGGTGAGGGGGGTGGATGCTTGCGTTGATGTGTGTGTATAATCAAAAGTCTTATGCACACACAGACTAATGTGTATACAAATATATTTGTGTCTATGTATATATGTTTGTGTATACATATGTATATAAAGACATGTATACATCTACATACATATAGATACATCTAGGTGTGTATGTGTATGTGTGAAAAAATAAGCAAAGCAACTGAAAAATATAACAGTGCAGAATGGTCCTCCATCAGTAATTAGAAGAAACACCTAAAAGAATCCCACTTTATGATAGAAAGTAAAAACAAATCAATCTAATGAACAAAAGTAATGGAATGGGTCATTCAAAACACGTTTATTACGTGCCATTAAAAAACAAAATGACTTAACTTGATAAACTGATGATAAAAATAAAGATTCTAAAATCAAATAAAAAGTTAACATATATAAAATTTTCGTGTAGATTAAAATATATACCATATGTATTTCAAATAATCAATTTATCCCTTTGAAATAACTGTATGCAAAAATGAAAACTTAAATAGAATTAAATACCATGAAATCATAAAATAGAATTTTAATAAGAAAAACATTATTTGTTACTTTTGGAAATAACAAAAAATTTTGATTTAACTGAAGTCTTAAGCTTTGACAAATTTCATAAGCATCATTGTTATTGAAGATTACATAAATAGAAAAGTAATTTATAATATATCATTATATTCCCTCAAGGAATTTAAAAAAAAAACAGAGCTTGCCCATGGAATGAAAATTAGCCCACAAGAAAAGAATCACATTTCACAAGGAATACTTCCATCCCATTCCTACATAAATAGAAAATAACACTATACTGTATATTATTTTTGTATAAATATACAACTTAAACTAAACCATAAAAAGCAAAAAAAGATTTCAATGTAAAAAATTAGTCACGTTTTAGTGGGGTAAAAAAATCTTGAACTTCATGAAAAAATGCCTCATTAAAAAGAAAAAAATAAGTGTTCAATTATAACTTTCAATCCATTCCATGATGGGATGAAACCTTGCCTAAGGAATGAGAAATAACAATATGGAAGGAATCAGGAACTTATTTCATCTTAGTGGAATGAGCCATTCCATTACTGTCATACCAAAGACTAGCTAATTAAACAAAAAAATAATAACTTGCCTTTGATTACAAAACAAAGCATCATAATCCTTGTGCACAGGTGAAATGACAATGACCCATGTATGAACATCAATCAGTAAGTGGGAAAAGTCAAAGAGAGAGAATACAAAAAGATTTGAAATACACATTGGGGGCTAATGTTATTAACAAGTAAGAAAGGAGTTAAGAAGCAGAAGCAGAGCATAAGAATAGTGAATTTGTATTTGATCTGAGATGGCAAGGGATGTAGTAATATAAGTCTCTCATTTAGTTGTAAAGATAAATGACTTATATAGTAGTGAGTAGTAGTAAGTAGAGTATATCTTCTTCTAGTTTACATTAGTTGAATGAAGTAGTAGTATGAAATGAATGATGCGGGCTTACACTCGTTCGGGAAGCATTTGTCATGAGAAAACACTAGAAGAATATACAATCTGCAATGCCCTTCCTTCACAAATCACAACTCCCTCCCATCAAACAGAAAAAAGGCATCCATATCTTCCAATCTTTATGAGTCATGTCATGACAACCCACCTACAACTGGACACACAATGCAGCCAAAAAAGGTATAACTAAACTTTCAAAGTATTCCAAGTACCATTCTTGTTGTTTATTAGTTATTGCAAGGAGCTTACATTACATGTACGATGATGTATCCATGTCCTAGCTGCAGCTCTATCTTAAGGTGGCCTCCAAGAGTTGAGTGATGATATGTCAGGCCGACATGGCATCATCATGGAACCACTATGGCCTGAATGGAGTTAATAATAATATTAAGCACAAGTCAACCATCATCATCCATAAGATAAAGAATAAATATATGATTGCTTGCTTGAATCACCTGGAATTGGAGCTCCACCTGGAACCGTGGGTTGAAAACCAACATTATTTGCTGGGCCTGGGGGTCTCTCCATAGGTGCTCGAAAATAGCCTGACACACACCAAACCAATTACTCAATAATAACAACTTAAACTTTCAACTACCCCTAACATCTACTACAACTCTACATTAATAGTTGCCTAATATGTAAGCTTAATCTTCATGATGTGAATTAGCATTTCTTTTCATTAGGTGATTTTGGAGGTCTCAAGTGGAATGAACTTCTACTTTTGTAGATTGCAACTGCATTGACATGGTATAATGCAAACAAAATAAATAAATGTTCAGCCCATCAACTTGCGGATAAAACCCATAACTTTTATCACTCTTGCTAGTAGAGTTCATACAAAAACAGAAGAAGCATCTATAACAGAGCTTCTTCACCACTGATGAATAAAAATAGAAAATGAACATAGCAACAATGATTTTCTGATTGGTCATACCCAAGTTTCACAAGAGCTTGGTAAGCAGTCTATCAAACAACCCTTTAAAACTCAGCTTTCTTTCTTTCTTAGCCGTCCACTAATTCAACTAGATCAAGGCGTCTGAGTAGAAGTTAACAATTCGAACAACATTTTTCTAAGATTATTGAACTGAGTAGCAAGGCTGGAGATCGATACTCATATTAAAACATGAAGGGTTTTTTGCACTTCTGATGGTAAGACAAAAACAAAGATACTTGAATTGCAGATAAGAGGAAACGTAGCTGTAAAATTCTATTTATTTGATCATCAAGAATAACAGGTCACAACTCACAAGTGGGATGTGTATCCTATAGAGATCTTTATCTCAGCAACAAATGCTCCAAAAACCTATAAGTTGCCTTGGAATCAATAAAGTATCAGGTACTAAGAAAACATGTTGATAGTTATTAGGATGATCATTAGCAGGTTTGGTAGTAATTTGATTATTTCTCAGATACTCAAAGTGTTACCCAGAAATAGCATAAGACCTTATAGAAGGGTCATCTTCCATGTCACTTATCCCCTCTAATTCTCTCTGAGGATTTGAATTTACAAATAATCACGCAAACAAAATTAATGAAAGGGTTTTTTTGACCAATCTCCATTCTTGCTTTAAAAACTCTTTCCCAAGTAAGGAATCACTTTCCAGAAGGATATTTTCCTTTATGCAAATTGATAGAATTGGTTCATCCCTGCTCAACTGACTAGGAGATGAGTCGGATTTATACTTCTAAAATCAGGCATACCCCTTTCTATATGCATTGATGTCAGGTGTAAAACTCTAGAATCCCCCATTGTAACGGTAAGCTTATTTATTATGTCTGTCGTTTTGATCATCCTGACCTCTTCTTCAAAATGGTGGCTGTTATCTCTGACTTTCATTTTTCTTATCCAATACATTACCCTTCACTATATTGGTATAAGATCCAGATTAGAACCTTATAGAAAAAGTCTGCTCTGTACTCTTCTCACCAATTATTACCTTCTTTATAAGATTCTACATCAAACTCCGTAACAATACAAGTACAAGTAAAAGAAAAAAGAAGTTTTCTCAGAGAAGATAAAATGATAAATCAAAGTGATTAAAAGCACTGTGCTAGTCAGAGGGCACACATGACACACCTAGTGCCTGGTTTATCTTACAAACAAAACCACAACATCAAGGTGCAGACTTTTTAAGTCCTGCGATTAGGATTCCTATTCTGTACTTCTCAGTGTCCTTTTTCTCCTCTAATAATAATAAGCTAAATACCTAAGTGGTCAGTCTAAGCCTTCTCATATGCAATAGTGACTAATCAACTTACAACGAAGATAACTTCTTTTAACTGAAGTACCAGGGAACACACATTCAATTTGTATATGCATTACAGCGATAGACACCTAACTCCATGTGTGATAAAATCAACAATTACATACAGAAGTAAGTGTTGGAATCAAAACTACCCCTGGTTTCCCAGCTACACTTGTTCGGTAATCATGGTTTTCTTTTATGTGGACTTAGCTGACAAATAAGATGCCAACAGAAATGCACCATTATCCCCTACGAGATGTTTATTGTGCATACCATACTTTTGATTTTAATTCGTTATAAGATTGACAGTTGCATAACACCACCTCACAAATTGCAATACTCATGTGTATGCACCAAGAAACTACATAATACCGGTAATTTTGGCCTTTGCCTAAACACTATTGGAGTTACAAAGCTATAAAGTATCCCAGGTCTCTTAGCATCCCCATAGATCACTAAAGTTCAACAGAAAATTCAATGATCCTATAAGCTTGTCTATTATAGTCCTCAACTCATTAGCAAGATCATAGCAGCTATAACTCATTTATTATAGAAACAGCTCATTCAAAGAAAAGAGTATTGGTGGTAGCTCTTATATTCTTGAGGGCTTCAGTTGCCACTTGTATATGTCTTCTTGCAAGTTAGCAGAATAAAACTTTATGCGACTACACCAATCGCTGTCATCTACTCTTCTCTTTCTTTTTATATCCTTTTTGATTTCCATCAATCATTTTGATATTCACATGTCATCAAAGCTCAAGATTCATAAGGTCATATGTACCAAGTCTCATAGCCTGTAGTTGTTGCACCCAGTATGTGGCAAGTATAATTTGCACCCTTCAGAATTTTGCAGGGGTCTCCAAGTGCAATTGTAAGAAGATAGTAGGGACAGCAGTCAAACTTTGACATCAGAATGTTCTTCACCATAAAATTTGAGGATCATCCTACCTTGCTGTTGTAATTTACCTTTTCTATCATTACCTACGGATTTGATCCAAAAATATTATTTTATGCGCCACAAACTTAACTATCAAAATTCTTTCAACAGCAGCCAGGTTCTACCAATCAACTCATAGAGTCATACATTCAGATTATAATTATGGAACAAAGATACATCACTTAAGTGATCCAACTCTGCCTTATGTTGCCCACTATGATCCATTCACCATTTCAAAAACTAGAAGATACATATTCAGATATCATGGGAATTTCTTAATGCTATATCAGAGGCATACATGTTCTAGAAAAATGTGTAAATCTAGTCACCATTACCCACACAAGATCCATAATACAATGAGGGCAGTATATACTGAAAGCACATCGCTGAACATCAACTAAAGCACAGCAAAGGTAAACCTCATTTATGCACTAGCTACACAAAGATGTTAAAAAGCAAAGTTACATACCTTCCTGAGCAAAAGGAGGACCCGAGGATAGTGAAATCCTCCATGCACCACGCTGATTATCAGTGCTGAACTCATTTGAAGGCGGTCTCCATTGTTCATCAGCACCATATCTCCTCGGGGCTTCAGGAGGTTTTGTTAATCCATAAAGAGGTGGGTATGGATGCTGCAGCATTCCAGGCTTGGGATATTGAAATTGACCAGCAGCATTCTGAGGCAACATGGGAGGTTGAAACGCTCTTGGAGGCAAAGCTACATTAGCAGTCTGAAGCTGCTGGTTTGATTGAGAAGCCTGAGGATTTGTATATGTTTCATGTACATACTCTACACGTGAACTGGAGGCTACAGCTGGCACAAAGGGAAACATTTCACCTCGGACAGCAGCATCAACATGAGCTCCGAGACGAGCCCCAAACGATGGCTGAGGAAACGGCGCTTGTGGTGGGGGAAGAGGATATGCTTGTGAAGGAGGTGGGGGTGGAGGAGGCGGGGGTGGGGGTGGTGATGGAGGCGAAGGGGAGGATGGAGGCGGTGGCACCATGGGTGACAGAGGTGGTGGTGGCGAAGAAGGCAAGGGGGGAGTGGGAGGGGGAGAATCAGGAGGCAGCGGTGGGGAGCCCTCACGAAAAGGGGACACCTCATTGGAATTATTTGAGGCTGCATCCATTGTCCTGTCTGAGCCACCTTCCTCCTGTTGAACAGCCTTGTAACCACCACCTGTCATGAATTTATCATCTTTCGGATGTCCAGATACATCTTCCATTTCAAGTTCGCCATCCACATCCTCCAAGATACAGTGGCGTCTGTCATTTGGGGTTACTGAACATGTTTCAAGTTCCCCTGTGCCCGGGCTTACCACTGGTGTTGATTTATCGGTGCTTTCTTTATGTGAAAAGTTTAAAATATCATCGTCGTCGTCCTCTTCAAAGACATTCGTCGACAGAAAACCAGGCAATTGAAACGTCGCATTGCTGAAAAAGTCAGATAATTTATATAAACTTCTTGAAATGCTTCAACTCTTGAAGATAAAGTTAAAAGAATTCTTTCACACCTCCCATATTCATCAACAAGCATGCCCTCCATCTCCCTAATCGGATCATCCACAGCCCGTTCAGATCGAGACGGACGCTTGGAGAAGAAACCAGCAGAAGCATCATCATTTGAAGCTCCAATGTCCTCTATGTAGCTTCGAAGTAAAGTATCAGGTAAAATTTTCCTTTCAAGCCACAATTTTAGAACCTATAAAATAAACATCAACTCAATGTCTGTTGAGAAAAAACAAAAAATCACGACCCAATTTGTAGAAATCTGCAAGAAAGAAAGAAAACAATCACCTTAAGGCATTGACGACGATTCTCGCGAGCACTGGCACCTGGTGGAGCAGCAGCTCCTAAAAGACGTGGCAATGCTGCTTGAACAGTAGGAATATAAGAGGCTCCAGCAATGCCTGAAGCAACATCACAAGCAAAGAGCACAAAATCAGATAAAAACAGAAACATACGAGAGGATGATCTTTTTATATACCTTTCTGTGAATGTGAGCACTGAGTAATGGAATCCACCAAAAAGAAGAGATCCACTCTTCGATGAAAGCTGGATTCATTTTCCAACTTGCGAGTAAGAAGTTCCACAACCTCATTGGCAATGCCATGTTTTGCACAGTCAATTGCATGGCGTGTTGCACGGCCAATGCTTTCTTTTGTTCTTGATAGTGTTTCTATCATTCCTTCAAAAGCATCACGGGCAACAGCTGCCTCGGTTCCACCACTAAGAGACCCCCGATGTCCTGAACTTGTCCTTGTCTCCTCAAACTCTGCAGAATCCGGCTGATCATCCGGTTGAACCACAATTCCAGGCCCTGGTGGGATGGGCTGAACACCAGAAACAGAACCAGGACTCCTCACACTTGCTTCCGTGGTTGCAACATGTGTATAATTAAGACCATCGTGCCCATGGTTTTGTGATTGAGCTTGTTTCCTTTTTGCCTGGGCAACTGCAATCAGATGCTTCATGGACTTACTTGATTCTGCACTTCTTGAATCACCAAATTCCAACCTGTGTTACAATAACATTTAGCACATAGAAAATATAATAATAATAATAATAATAATAATAATAATAATCATAATAACAGAGCCACATTCAGTATTTCTAGCACACCTTTCGCTAGATAGCAAGTTGCTATCATTAGGTTTCCTCAAAACAGCTGCAGAATCAGTCACCCGTGAAGTTGATTTTCGGTTAGATTTCTGCTTCTCACCGGAAACAACAGGCCTACTTCTCTCATTTACTGCATTATTCTGAGAACGATCAGAAATCCCACTTGAAGCCTTAAAAGGCCCTGCTTGAACTTTCTTGTTTTGAGGAACATTTCCAGAAACCTTGCCTAAGGACTTGTTTGCTTTCAGAGATTCTACCATAGGCGATTTCATAGGAGAGGCCAAGGACTTGCTTCTTTTAAGAGAGTCTACCATAGGCGACTTGACAGGAGAGACCACGGACTTGCTTGTTTTAAGAGATTCTACCATGGGCGACTTGACTGGAGAGACCAAGGACTTGGTTGCTTTTAGAGATTCTACCATCGGCGACTTGACAGGAGAGACCAAAACCTTTAGAGCCTCTTCAGATGGTTTCTTTTCAGATTCTGCTTTCTCAGGAGTATGACGGAACTGCCCCTCAACTATTCCTGTATTATGTTGCAGAGAAGTAGGTGACAAAAGCTTTAAGTTTTTGACAATAGGAGGATCTTGAATAGCTTCAGTCATTGCAGCAACTTCATCAACAGGTACTGGAATATGTGAGACTCCATCAACTCCTTTAGTTGACCTTCCATGCACAGGCGTCTTTGGCTCATCTTCATCATCATCAAAGATGCGCACAGCTCTCCTCTTCAAGGAAACTTGAGTCGAAACAGGTTTAGCAGCATCAGAACTTTCCCCCTTTCTAGGTGTAGAGTTTTCAGCACCAGACATGGACTCCACCACCTGCTTACGGCGTTTTGTAGGTGGTAGAACATCTTCATCACCATCAACTCCATTTGTCTGCCCCTTGGATGCCAAACGGTTTTTCATTTTCAAACTAGGTGTTGACTTTTTGACTTCTTCATTGCCTCCTTTGCCAGAAAGGTCGTTTTTCCTGTATGTTTGAGACTTCTTTGGGGTTTCATCCGTGCACTTGGACCTTTTTGTAGGATGCAAAACTCCATTATTAACAAGATTATCTTTCCCTCCCCCAGGCTCAGACTTGATTTTCCTTCCAGTAAGTTCAGTGTTGTTTCGCTCTATAGGTTCTCCTTCAACATCCTTTGATATATTATTAGCCACCCCAAGATTTGTTTTGACTTTAAATACTTTTTTTGTTTTTTTAATGTTATCACCAAATTCTGGGTTTTCTTCATTCTTGATCCCATGCGAGGAAATTCTCCGTATTGAGTTCTCAGTGACAGTGGATTCAAGATGACTGGTCTGAACAGAGGAACTGACACCTGCTGGACTATTCATTTTGTTTATTCCATCATCATCATCATCATCATCATCATCGTGTTTTTTCTTTGGAGCTCTTTCAATCCTATTCGACTTCTGCCCATTTGTTTCTACCTTCAGTCCAGATGTTGGATTTTTACTATGACTAGACGTGGATGTACTCTCCTTCTTGGGTGAAGTTACCTCATCATTGCAAAGTTCAATTCTTCTTTTGGTGGAAACAGCAGATGGAGAACAATCATTAACATTAGGTGAGACACTAGGCTTCACATCCTCATATTCCATTTCCCTGTTTATATGAGAGCACCGTTCTAATCCAGGGGCATGATTTGCAGTATCATTAAAAGATGTTTCGCCATTGGGTCCATCACCAGTCATTCCATCATCTACCATCTCTGTAGAATTGGTATCAGGCTGAAAACTCTGTCCATCATTATCTTCTTTTATAGAATCTGAACTCTTATTCTGCGAATCTTCAAATATGCTACAAATTTCCTTCACGGCTTGGGAAAAGTATTTGACTGTTTTTCCTTTACATCTATCCAGTAATTTGCTTTTTGACTCGCTGGTGAATGGTTGAATATCGATTGGAGCTACAAAAGCTCTGCAATAGAGAAACATTTGGATAAATATTACACTTTTTAGGGTGATAATTGCAAATAGTTCAAAGTAACAATAGCTTACATTTCTTCGGTACCAAAGAACTGTACAAAATATTTCTTCGGATCAGGAGCTCGTTTCCAATCTTCAGGTCTGCTGATCTGCATAAAGAGGGGGACACAAGAAAAAGAAAGGCTTTAAGAAGCCTGCTAACAGAAGTTTATCTATACACCATGTGGCAACTGACACAATGATGTAAGCTGCACAACATGAAGCATAAACCCCACAAATGTACATTAATCTTCTCAGAATTTCATTTCAAGATTTGATAACTTAACCAATGTTGGTGCAATATTAGAGTCCTCAAGATATTAGACCCTCGAGGGAACATGGCACATGACTCGCATCAAAACACATCCAAGAGGCATCTTTAGACAATTTTCCATAATAACATCACCCAAGCAGAACGTTTAAATGGGTACTTCAATTCAAGTGGCTTCTAGGATGAGAATGAGTACTAGTCTAGTTCAGCAGATGTGGTTGATACACCAATAAGCCAAGTTAAACTGGAAAACGAAATAAAGATCCTAAATCAAAATTGCGTGCATATTATGACCAATCCAATCGTTACATACTTACATCAGTTAGAAGCTAGAAAACTAAAGCGGCCTAAGTTGAATTAGGGATATTGACGCGATCGACAAAAAGCAGTTAACTGAACGACAACGGCTTAGCTAACCACCAAAATAAAATCCAGAAGTATACCACCCTCCACAGCCTACGAGATATTAGAAGAGTAATTCAAGTGGTAAATTAACAAGTCTCAATAAGAGATTAAATTCAACATAACAAATTAATAGAGAAGCGATCACATCTTAACTAAGGGAGAGACGTAAAAGTTCCTTTCTTCAAACAAAACTAAAACAAGAGCAGCAATACATGAAATTGAATCGAATTATAGCCAATGCATCATGTTTAATCATCATTGTTAATCTAACCTTGGCAGGCCATGCAGGAAAACCCTTGACCTTAGCGAGAACAAGATCGCCCAAATTTAACTGACTCTTTGTTTTGGCTCCTTTTGCTCCTCCACGTTTCCGCCCAGGAGCCATAGGGCGTCCTACGCTTAAAAAGCCCTAACAGAGAAGAGAGAAACAAAGACGCGCAACGTTTTTCGAATGACTGATCGGAAACCTAACTAATCGGTATAAAACCAAAACCCTGGTTGCGGAGGGGTGAGCGGAGGCTCATCAAGGGAGGACGTAAGGGGATCGGAGACGGAGACACCGGTGAAAACTATGAAGGGAGGATAAAACGGCTGTTGCCTGTGTCTCGGAAGATTCCGTAGCCGGAAGGACAGGGGATTTTGTTGAGGCGGTGGATGAAAGAGAGCGAGTTGGGGTGGGGGTGGGGTGATAAAAGAGTATTTTGTGAAGTAAATACCTGTATGTATGTATTCATAAATATTACAATGCTAATACGTCATATAGGATCTTATATCAAATGAAATATTGGTTAAAATCGTAACATGAAGGAAAAAAAAATCAATGATCCAGATTTCATATGCCCTTGGATATATCATTATTATTATTATTATTGATTTTTTATGAATATATATTATGTGTGTATGTATGTATGTCTTATTTCCTAACATGAGTGTATTTGTTCTTAGGCAATATTTCATAGCTAGCATCATGAAAATCTATGATTCACTTATAGAACTTACCATGGAAAGTGTGTAACGGTTTTATATTTAGCAGTCATGACCCGAAAAACATGTTTATTTCTATAATAAAGCAAGTCGATGAGCTAAGATATATCTTTTTCAGTTATTATACGTGAATGGTGGCGGTTATTTTGTATTTTTTCACGTTCTTTATGGTATAGTAATCAAATGAACTAAGATATGACTTTCCGTTATTATATGTGAATGGTAGCAGTTATTTTGCGTTCCTTCATGTTATCACGATGTTTAACCGTCTATTTTATGTTTTTGTTATTTGTATTTATCTATTTATTATTGTGGTTATGTGCATGGGTAATTGAGTTTATTAGTCTTCGATAACTCCACTCTCAAATAATGGCGGCGAGGGAGGTAAGCGCGAAACATATTCAACAATATTCAAATTAATTATTAGATTTAAATATTCAGATTTATCCAGTTAAAATAATACTTTACAATAGAGGTTTATCTGTAACATCACAATGATGAGGTATTTTTATTTTGGCCTTATGATTTATTTATGTTGCAATTTAGACCCTAAGTAAAAGAAAGAGTGCAATAAGGGCCATATTGACATTTTCGTAATTTTGGGTTCTCATGGAGTATGTCATGCGTACGTGTGTACGCTTAGCGTACTAGGGCCCTAGTACGCTACGTGTACATCTGTACACAGGGCGTATGTGCTAGTCATGCAAACCCTAATTTTAGGGTGTGGCTCATATTTAAACCCCATTATAGCATCATTCTCCCTCACCTCATCAGCCTCCATCCTCTTAGAACGTTCTTAAAACCTAATCCATATTGTGAAGCATTTCCAAGCTTGAGTGTGGGTGTTTTGTGCCTTTAAAGAATAAGGAAATGAGTGGAGACCATCTTGGAGGAGTGAAGCTCTTTAGATCCAGAATCTCACCACCTTTGGCATCATTTGGAGGTATAAAGTTCTAAACTTGGTGAAGTTTCATTTAGATCTTGTGTTGGGTTGTTTTTGGTTCCTTTTTGTCCCAAATGTGGTGATTCATGAACATATCATGTTCTTGACCCATTAAGTTGTCCTTGTAGACTTTATAAGGGTCTTAAGTCATAAAAATGGGATCTAAGTGGTTGGTTTTGCTCTATGCATCATTTAGAGGGTCTTGATGGATTAAAAAGTTGAGTTAAGCTCTTAATGGACATGTAAAGTCATAAAGTTGGAAACTTTATGAATCTAGAGGGTATTGTAGCATTGGATATGAAAGTTGGATGTAAGAGCTTATGGCATTAAGCACTTAATGAGGTCTGGTAGATCTGGGCATATATCTTGCGTAATTTGAGTACGCATCACGTACGTGGTCAAAGCCCTCGATAGCGGTCAGCGATGGAGTACGCCCTGCGTACCCTAGGAGCACGCCCCATGTACATCTTCTATGTCAACTCGGTTGAGTATACTCGACTAGCTTGACCCGGATGGGTTGACTCAATTGACTTATGGATTTTTGACCAGTTTGACATTGGACCTTGACTTTTGTTGACTCCAAGTACATTGGACCCAAGAAGCAGGACAAGTTGGACCCCAGGTACATTGGACCTTTCAGGGATATATAGGCCGGGTGGGCAAGGTGGCGTACAAGCTGGATCTGCCAGCCGAACTCAGTCAGATCCACAACATTTTCCACGTCTCCCAACTGCGGAAGTGCCTGGTGGATGACTCGGTAGTGGTGCCCCTGGATGATATCCAGGTTGACGATAACCTTAATTACATTGAGCGGCTTGTGGAAATTCCCGATTGGAAGTCGAAGGATCTAAGGAACAAGAAGGTCGAGCTGGTGAAGGTGCAATGGCAACACCAAAAGGGCTCAGAGTGGACGAGGGAGCCGGTGGACGAGATGATGGAGCATTACCCAGAGCTTTTCCAGGAGCGAGCAGCAGACTTCGAGGACGCAGTCTAATATAAATGGGGGAGATTCGTAGCACCTGGTTCTTGGTATGTATCTCATTCAAGTATTTTTTTCACATTTTGGCATAGACTCGGCGAGTTGAAGGCCCAACTCGTTAAGTAGAAGCGACTTGGACCCGACGGATAAGTGGCGGACTCGTCGAGTCGGCAGCAAGACTCGACGAGTAGACCCTGTCAGGATAAAACCCTAATCTGAGGGTTTGCACCCTATTTAAACTACCTTATACAGCCTCCATCGTCCCCTATGCTCTCAGAACACCTCACATTAAACCCTAATAGTCTTTGGTGAAGATCTAAGGCTTTTTGGTGATTCTTGGTGGTTTGTGATGAGTTTTGAGCATTCAAACACTCATGTGGTGTACATGCAACCCTAGAAACATTGGATCTATGTTTGACTAAGATACATGAAAATAATTATTTTCCCAAGGTTCTTATCCTAACTAGCATGGCATGGGGTCCTTGAATCAAATAAAGATAGTAGAACTACTTACTTTGTAGTAGTTGTTGATTGCTTGGAGTTTGAGAGCCTAGCACTAGTAGTGTGGATGCCTCAAATAGAAGTCACAAATCACCACAAAATAGGAAACTTGAGAGAATAGTCACAACCTTTCTTGAAATCGGCCCTCTTAGTATACTCACCACAACTAGTGTGATTTCAAGAACCAAAGCCTCCTTTATATAGTGTGGTGGATTAGGGTTACATCCAGGTAAACCCTAATACCCATGTCTTTTCATTGCCATGAGATCCATGGGTTAAATCTCCATGGAGTATCCACAGACTTTCCATGCAAGCCTAGCCCATTCCAAATAAGCATTAGCCCACACTATATAAATACAAGCGCCCATATTTAATTAGTCATACTTTTGATCTCTGAATTAATTCTAAATTAATTATAGATCAATACTAATTAAATAATACGATTTTATATAATATATTAGAACTTATAATATATTAATAAATCATAACTTATACTATTCTCAAAAGATTATCCATAAATTGTTCGGGTAAAGTGTAACCCAAATGGACCATGCTGGGTCGGGTCAAGTACATACCAAATATAGTTATGGACTTAGACACTATATCCAACAGTCTCTCACTTGGATAAGTCTAATAACTATAGTTGCAAGTATAACTTCAGGAACCGATCAACAATCGTAGCTCTTAAAACCCTGTTGAAATATGAAGCGCCATTTAGATAAGTGATCATATAATCCTCCGTTCTAGATATCATCCGGACAAATACATGGAACATGGTCTTGCTTATTGTCCAACATTTGTTTCCTGATTTCCGATTTGTTTGACATAGAACTTAACTGAACACATCAATTTAGTTCTGACTGGGCCCCATACATAGGTCAAAACAAAATCATCAAGGGGCCCAGATATCGCTTCTAATCCTAGAAGGAACAAATAAACTTCGACTCATATGTTTGCTCTACCACATGTTAAATTGCACACAAAGGCACGGTTTATAACATCGATTTACCAACGCATTTTCGTGCAATCAATGCATAACCAACTCATATGCAACAAATCATATCTCTAGGTTTGAAGATTTATATGATATTACCATCTCACAATCACTCGAGATAAATTCCATGAAGTGATACCAGTGAGCGTGGGTTGAATCCAATACTCAAAACTTATGAGCACTCATGAGTGTTGTAGCCCCGCTTTGTCTAACATCTTAGACCTCTACAAGCCAACCCATGATAGTCTTGATTCATATCTACTTGCAACATATGATCGACTGTGGAGAGTTTGAATAATATGATATATACCATAACATAATTATTTTGGAAGTCATAAGATGCAAAAAGAAATAATAGTAAATGATTGACAAGAGATAGCAACACTTTACTCATAAATAAAAGCTTTTATTTATCATCAAATGTCAATTACACTTTACAAATTTCAAAATTATTTAACTACTAAAACTAATATCATCCTTCAGCCCTATGCTCCGAGCATGCTGGAGATGCTTAACCCGATTCAGTCCCTTCGTGAGGGGGTCTGCTGGGTTCTCATCCGATGATACCCTCTTTGCCACAGGATTTCTTCTTCTATTTGATGTCTGATGAAGTGATATTTTCTGTCAATATGTCTGGATCTCCCATGATCTCTTGGTTCCTTGGCTAAGGCAACCACACTATTGTTGTCACAAAAAATCTCCGTTATCTCCTTTATAACTGGTACAACTCCAAGGTCTCCGATGAAGTTCTTTAGCCATATAGCCTCCTTTGTTGTCTCGCTTGCTGCTATATACTCTAATTCACAAGTGGAATCAACCATTGTATCTTGCTTGGAACTTTTCCAAGTAATTGCCCCTTCATTTAGGGTAAAGACCCAACCCGACTGAGAGCGGAAATTATCCCTGTCAGTCTGAAAGCTAGCATCACTATAACCTTATACTTTCAAGTCAATACTCCCACCAAGGGTAAGGACCGAGTCCTTAGTCCTTCATAGGTACTTGAGAATATTCTTTACCACTGTCCAGTGAGCCTTGCCAGGATTCCCCTGATATCTACTGACCATGCTCAAAGCATAGGCAACATCAGGACGAGTACAAGTCATAGCATACATGATCGAGCCTACAAAGGAAGCATATGGTACTCGACTCATCTCAGCTATCTCAACCTCTGTACTCGGACTCTGAGTTTTACTCAGTCTGGCATTACACTGGATAGGTAACTCACCTTTCTTGGAATTATTCATGTTGAACCTTTTCAACACTTTGTCTACATTGGTGCTTTGACTAAGTCCAATT